CTTTACAATCTGTGCAGCATACGAGGAAATGTTAGTGTCGAGCCCTCGTTACGATCCGGAATATTGCCTCCGCTCTCTCTGTTTGTCTCCTAGCCCATTTCCAGTTTTCCATCTGTTCCCAGACTGTTTGGCTTTTCATTTATTCTGTGCGTGATTCTCTGTATCTGTGGAGCCCCGTGGGGAGGTGGGCCTGTCTGCTCTGTCCGCTGCTTGCTTCCCCACGAGAGGCTCCTCTGCTCTGGTCACAGAGTCATGCTACTCCCCTCAGGCTGGAGGCTCTGCTGCCATATTCACATGAACCAAATGTCTCATTTCACTTTATACTTTTTTGTTTGTGGTGAACTAAAGCTTAGTTCGTGCCTCAGTGCATGATTTGAATACTGTTTTGTATCCGTCACATGTCTTCGTCAACAAGGTTCTTCTGCTGTTTTCTCACATGGGCTCACTGGACATTTTACTCAGGGGGGCGGCCGGAAAAGTCCCCGAAAAACTTTAGGACAATCTGACAAGGATATTTAATTACAGCCCCTCCAGAAACATTCAGGAAAATATTTGGACTTCAGTCATTTTTCTGCGTAAATGGCAGATTTAATTGCAGACCTGTGGACAGAAGAGAAGTTTACTTTTGAGATAAGAAAAGTTTAAAGTGCTCAAAGCAGTGGAGGCAGAAGTGTTGTGGTGATGTGAAGTGGCACAGCTGGGGCGCCATATTTCTAAGATTATGTGAAGATAATGTGAAAATTATACCACACGCTGCTTAATAGCCCTCATTGTGCACGATGCAATCTCAATGATGGATAGCACCGTTAAAGGTCCACCCTGGGACTGTGTTTCATTTATTATTTATACAGAAAAATACAATTATTGTGTTGCACAGGAGCGTTTTAGTCGTCTTGTCCACACAAAACCCTCCCTGCCGTCTCCCAGCTGGTTGAATATCTTTGAATTGCAGGTGCTGCGGTTTGTGTAACTTGGACTGACTCTGTGGCATCCCGGTGCATTAGAGCCGCTGTGCGAGCTTCCTCTCGAGCCCTCGGGAAGCACAGTCATAAATTAGCAGGGGTACTCGTCTGTGTTATTCTCAAGTCGGCTGGAACAGAGTGGCCTTGGCAAATATAAAAGGGATTGCTGGATTAAGCCTTTCCAAACTTGTAACGTGTGCCAGAGTACATTTCCATTTATCCGCTGTATATTCTGTGCTGTTGGGTAAGAAGGTGATAAAACATCTGTTAATAGAAAGTAAAGAAAACGGGAACGACTAAAATAACCCTCCGTTTCCAGCCGAGCTCTCAGGGTTGCTCTAAGGGCGTTGGTGTTTGAGGACTGTGATCTGAGCTGTATCTCAAAAAAACTGTTGCGCTGCGTGTGTGACGTCAGAGAACTTATTGTTCTTTAATGCAGGTTGACGTGTATTCATCCAGCAGTGCAGATCCTCCACCTCTGTTCCTGTGTGAACCTCAACGATGTAATTTCATTAGGCGGAGGAAGCGTTCTGTGATTGGCTTTAAAAAAAAAAAGAAAAAAAGAGAACCCTGGTTTTAAACATCTCATTCTCTCAATCTCATTAGTCTCTGCTCCTCAACACTCAAACTCACACCAGTTTCATTATCCAGTCAGTTAATGTGGTTCAGGCAGCGTGTGGCCCCATGTTGGGTTAGAGCCCAGGTGACTAATGTAGTAAAATCTGATGTATTCATTGTACAAAACTTTTATATATGTATTTATCAGTTCATTCATTTCATAATGTACTGTCACAACCACGTACTCTGAAACTCATAACCAGTAGATGACATGTTTTCTTTTGATAAATGTGAATTATAAAATTGAATTATTAGTATGAATTGCTGAATTAATCAAATTAATTATTCGTGTCCATGTAACAGAGAATAAAAAATGTTAATTTGCGTTTTCCCTTTAAAAAAAACGACAAATAAAATGACCATTTGATGAGCAGCCCTTGCATTAGCTCTCTTTGTGACTGTTGGCAGTGACAAATAACATTTATGTACAGCACATTTTCTTTCTTTACTCTTTCATTTACGAACACGCATCGACGGTTTTCTTTAAACAGCCTTGTGTTGACGGATTTGTTCCACGGATCGTTTCGCTCACTCGTCAGCCGCCGACAGCTTCTGATTGTTTTTTTGACAAATCACTGAGTCCCCGCCCCGTCACTCTGGCTTTTATAAAATTACACTGATCAGCTGAGGGGCGGAACGACGTGTTCACCATCTCCTCGTGTCCGACACGACTCTACCTCTGGCTCATGTTTGTGGAGAATAAGTCAGCGGATCAGAATAACTGGCTCCCGGTGCTGCGAGTGTGAATCGAAAAAGGTTTTCCTGGGCAGGTTCTTGTGAGTTTGTGCCAGGCCAACGTCTCCCCTGGCAAGGTCCTCACTCCCAGCCCCATCAATGAGCTGCTCAGATGAGCTGGATTTGTGGGAGTTGGAGTAGCTCTTACTGGCCCCACTCTCTCACTCTCTTTCTTTTCCACAGACCACAGGCTTTCTCTGCAGCCTCTAATCTTAGAATTTTTATATGAAAAGGCAATTTAAATCACACACCAACACATCTGCCTCATTTTGTTTGCTTTGTGTTGATTTGGGGCTTTGAACGGACGATTCGTGTCGTCATCAGAATCATAGACAGTGAATTAAAATGCACGATGCGTCTCCGCTTCCTCCCATCGCACAGAAAAAGGAATACGATGCTGCGTCCTGCTGAGCTTTTGATGTCATTCAGTCAGAGTCGTGATTGTAACTTGGAGGCGTGCTATCAGAGTCCAGCTCGAACAATGACAGATCAGTTTCAGCGGTCAGTTAGCACGTTAGATAATTGAATCAAACAAATTTAAGAGAAACGTGAACATTTGAAGAAACACCGATGTGAAAGAACTTCAAAATGTACTTCGTCATAATGGATTGGATCATTATTGATTATGAATCCTCCCTCTCAGTTGTGTACAGCACTGATGTGTTTTTGTGATAATGTTTGACAGGGAGAGGATCTGTGTTCCTCGAAAGGGAACTGAAACGCATCAGAGCATGTGACAAAATTCATTTTCATACATATTGATTATTTTCTTATCATCAGAGCTTCCAGGAAGCTGCAGATGTAAAGTAAACTCCTTGACTCAGTTGCCAGGAATTTAATTTTTACTTGTAGGCTGTTTGTTGTGTGTGTGTGTGTGTGTGTGTGTAAAATCTGATTTATAACATTTGAGCAGCGAGTTTGAGCAGCAAGTTTTATGGCTCGCATTAGTTTCCTCCAAGGAGAAACGGCTGGAGTCCATGTTTCACTTTTAGGAGAAGCACATACACATCCGTTCATACATTTTTTATTACTTGGAGAAGGGTTCCAGACAAGTGAATGTTCCCGTCATATTTCCCAGTGGACAAATGCCCGGGTGTGTTATTGATGTGTATTGGCTGTGTGTCCACTCATCTGTGCTGTAATCTAAATGGCCTCAGCGCAGACCTGGGGTCACGGGCTGAGCACTGACCAGATATCTGCCGTGTTCCTCCTCCCCCTCGCTCTGCTCTGCATGGTGCCTCTGTGTGTTCACATGTTAATAATTCCCCACGCGTTTACTCACTCAAATCCACCTCGGCCTGCCGCTCCGTGACCTGCGTGACCCCGTGTGAGAGGGAAGTGTGATCTGCTCACATATGTAAAAACAGCATGACTCACTGTTGAGTCAATACATGTATGTTTAGATAGGAAGCCAATGTTCTCTTCCGCTGTAACCACAGCGGCCTCTCGGCGTGCTCACGCACTTACATAGCATAGAAGAGAATGAAACCATACGAATACAGTGTTTCTGGGGGAGTTTGAATGTTCATGGACTTCTCCTTAAAGCTATAAGTGTTTTAAAATCTCATCACGAGCCTCAAATTATTTGTTCTATCGAGATAAAACCAAGAAAATCTTCAATTTGTGAATGCACAACCTGTAAATCTATGTTTTTTTGGTATGACTCAGGATCACACAGGTTCGTTCTGGCTGTTTCTCGCCGCCTGCGTCGTGTGCGATAGAAGTGTGTGTGTGTGTGTGTGTGTGTGTGATGTTCTGAGTGTGTGAGCCATCTGTACTGTTTATTTCCGAGTATTAACATGAATGACCGTGTGAACAATGAAAAGCAGTAGATGCTGTACAGGATCGCTGGATGGTCGCTGATGCTGCGGGACGTATCACTGGCTGCACAGCGAAACGCCACATGACGCCATTAAAGTGTCGTTTGTTCTGCTTGTGTGAGAAAAAAAAAAAGACAAAAGAAATTAAGTCAGCAAAAACTGCCTTCAGGACATGTCATGTGCTTTGCTGCCGTGGCAACTAGAGTCACCACATACTAATATTTTAGGTTGTCCTACATAATTGTCTGCCTTTGTCAGAGCAGAGTGGATTTTTCAGGATAGGCTCTGGGGGGGTGTATGTTTGCAGCCCCTCTGCTGACTCAAGACAGATTTACAGTCTCATCAACTTCTCTATCCAACCCCTCCTCCTCTCAGATATAAACCCCAGGAATCCTCTCAAGATGACGGCACTCGTTTGATCCTCTTCTCTTTTAGCTCTGTGCTTTCTTTCTTTCTTAGAGAAGGAAAGTAGATGTTGTTCTCACTAAGAGACGAGGCAGTGAGCCAGAGATACAAAGACAACTTGGACGATGAAAGAAAGTATTTCTACAAGGGTCAAAAAACACCTGATGGAGCAATGACCCACGACTGTGCAGCAGGTTTCTGGTACATGACTAAACCTGAGTGTCTGTACACACGGATGTCTGTGTGAATATATTTGTGTTTTCTTCTATTTCAAGTAATTTATAATACGGTTAGTTTATTTATATATTAGCTGATATATTTCAACATCGACTAGAAGGGAGCGAGCAATCCGTACCTCCACAGAGAAACCCCCCCCACATTTAATTTCACGCCACTGTTAAGATAACAAACTCCTTGAGTGCTTAGTATTTATTTTTCCTCCTCTTCCATGTGTCCACAGGCAGATCGCAGCGTCTGTGATGTCAACATCCTCAGCATCCCGGTGCCCATTCGTCGCGGCGGCTCAGAGTCCAACCTGGACGTGGTTGACAGCGTCGGAGATGACGGAGTGGGACTGGATTTCACCAAGGGAGCGTTGGGTATCGACAGCCTGCAGCAGAAGATCCTCAAGGTCAGAGGAGACGTAACTCACCTCCAGCGCAGTCCCTTCGTTAATTTACTGTGTTTGACTTGCTGAGCATGTGTGTGTGTGTACACATGTGACGCGTGGGCCGTCATAACATACATCACACAGGGGAAGAAGATTAAATCTCTTCAGCTCGGTTCACTGGAATTTCTTTTATACAGTAATGAGGCAAGTCTAATTAAATGTCTGTTGTGATGCTGCATTAGTTGAAATTATGAAAAGCTGTGCTCCACCTCATCAACTCCCTAATTGGTTATTTTTAAAAGTTGGCTTCTCAGAGTGAAATGATACCCACCGGAGCAAGAGGAAGGAAGATGAGGCCTCAGCACAGATTAGTTCAATTCTAAATTTGGTGCTTTATCTCAAATTTTGAAGGTAATTTGGGACAGAAACCGGATAATGAGATAATAAACAAATAATATAATCAAGTGCTGCCTCTAGTGTGTCATACGAATAAAGTATAAACAGGAAGTGAAACAATTCACAAAGAACAACTTAAAGAGAACTGTGTATGGTGAAGAGATGCAGTATTTAGAAACTTAGATTAGATGCAATCAAATACAAAAACCTGTCAAAAGAAAAGATGTAATGGTGCAGCCACGGTGCAGTAGAAGTTTCAGTATATGAAGTAAAAGTGAATTTCATCATTTCTTCACTGTCAACAATCCAATACATCTTTTAACTCCTTTTTCTTCCTGCTGTCGTCCCCCCTTCAGGTGACGGAGCAGATTAAGGTGGAGCAGGCGGCTCGGGACCAGAATGTGGCCGAGTACCTGAAGCTGGTGAACAACGCCGACAAGCAGCAGGTGTCTCGTATCCGTCAGGTCTTTGAGAAGAAGAACCAGAAGTCGGCACAGAACATCTCCCGGCTGCAGAGGAAACTGGAGCAGTACCACCGCCGCATGAAGGACAGCGAGACCAACGGCAAGCAAAGCCACAAGGACGGCAGCGGCAAGGAGTCTGGGACTCACAGTAAGGAGGGCAGCCTGCGGGACGTCAGCGCCACCGGGCGCCACCCGGGGCTGGATAAGGTGAAGACGATCGGGCCCGGTGTGTCGCTCTCGCCGCCGTTCTTCTTCAACAAGTCACGGGAGTTTGCCAACCTCATCAGGAACAAGTTTGGCAGCGCCGACAACATCGCCCACCTCAAGAGCTCCATGGAGACAGGCTCAGGGCTGCAGGTAGACAGCGCGGCGAGGGGGTTGAGCGGCAGCGCCACCACAGTAGCCAAGACAAGCAAGTACCAGAGCGACGACGAGTGCTCCACCGGGACATCCGCGTCCGCCGACTCTAATGGGAACCCAGGAGGGGGCTCGGCGGCAGGGTCCGGGGGTCCTGGGAGGTCAGACTCTAACGGGCGACTGGGGGAGGTGCTGGACATGGTGCGTGAGATCAGGGACGCTCAGGGACAGTTGGCTGAGGAGATGGAGACGATGAACTCACAGTTCAAACGAGACTATGGCTACTTCACACAGGTGCTGCAGGAGGAACGATACCGGTGAGTGAAGAGGAGGGTTCACAATGTTTTTCTCCTCAGGGAATCAAACCACTCACCTGGGACAGGACGAGGCTAATATTTCAACATCCAAATAAGATATATATAATTAAAAATATGAAATTAAATATGTTTATTGATGAAACGTTCCTGTTATTGACCAGGAGGTGCTGTTAGTTTTCGTCGTGTACTGTATTTCTCCGCAGCTGCACCGTACAAAAAAAAAACAATAATCCAATCACTGTCGCCGGCAGTAACGCTCATAACTGGGTAAATTCTGTTTGCACATCAGCTGCTGATCTTATAAGAGCTTTTGACAGTTTTATTGGGGAACATTAGTATCAGCTTTTGTCTACTAAAAATAGATGGCAGAGCTTACGCGCAAATCCCCGGACTGTTGCTGAGTCAACCAAGGGCAAATGTTTTCCGCGGCTTCGTAGCGGTAGTAGATAAACTGCTGTGCTCACCCACACATGCACTCAATTATGCATTGTTTCTTACTCAGTCTTTGGTGCTCTGCCTCCACCCACTCTACATGTTTCCCTGTGTGTGTGTGTGTGTGTGTGTGTGTGTGTGTGTGTGTGTGTGTGTGTGTGTGTGTGTGTGTGTGTGTGTGTGTGTGTGTGTGTGTGT